AAGCGGTCTTTGCTAGGCCACAGACTACTAATAGGCTGTTTGATAGTTAAGATATAAATAGGGGGTGCTACTAATTATATCAGTTCTCCCAGTATCGGTCGTCCTAGCTAAACTCAACAAACCTAATGTATCCTAACAAGTAATTTAATTTGAATGGTCTAACAATTTGATGCAAAAATACTCTCATTCACTGGCCAGTGAGAAAATAACAACCAGTGGTAATTTCCCAACTTACACTATAAATTCCGACCCCCAATTTGTCAGATACCAATTACAACAAAATACAATCAATAGGATAATTAGTCCCTAGCAATCAGTTGATTAATTACACACAATTCATTCCATTAAGTTAATCTATAAAGAATTCAAATCTCCATTCTTCCTTTCAATTAATTGCTCCCATGATTAGACCTTTATTAATTATAGTAAAAGCCCTACAATAAATACCCCTAAATAACATCATTTTTAAATTAATTTTGGTCTAGCAGCACTCTCTCTAGGATGTCCTGACTACAATGTCTTAGTAGCCGCTTATAACCTCCTCCAGACTCTGGTGCAAGAGTCTCTGGTTTTGTTCCGATGCTGTAATAAAACAGTTCCTTTTTGAATCCTGAGGGATCCTCCTTGGTCCTGGTCTCCCCTGTTCTCTAGCTAGCTTCTCCAAGGCACCCAGTTGTCCCTGGTCCAGGTTCCTGCCTGCTGGGGCTCCGATATAACTTGCTGCCAGGTGGTTGATGGTATTTGCAGTCCAGCTAAGTTGTGCGTGGCTGGGCTGGCTTCCGGGGGAGTAAAAGCCCCCCTTGAGCTTCTCGGCTGGTCGTCTAGCTCCGACAGCTCAAAAATAAGTGTCATTGTGTCTGTGATAGTTGTAAATAGTAGAAGGGCAGAAGCGAAAACGGATGAAGGCAGAAGGCGAGGAGCAGGTACAGCTGTATCAGCAAGTGGACGCAGCATCCAGGTGTGAGCCCAGCAAGTCCAGCATGGTGGTCGCAGCTTTGGTGAGAGACCAGAACAAGGGAAAGCTAGCGACCGCCACTCATGCAGCCAGTACAGCGCGATTGCCAGGCAAGTCCGAGGAGCTGTCCGGCGGATCGTCCTGGGCTGGGCCAGTCCTGGTCACCAAGAGACCGCACTGTGCGCCCCACTGGGGCAGGAGAGGGGACAGTCCGTAAGTCCACACTCTTTGAATTTGCATCCCTATATTACGTGTGGCCTCGCAAGGTAGTGCTTTTTGCGCTTGCAGCCAGAAAAGTTAGATTCAAGGCTGTTTCCCAGTATTGTCTAACACAGAGCTACAAAACTGGTAGCATAGCTTTTATTATTTTAAAACTTTGATTGTTTTATTTGTTCAAATGCTATACAGTCTTATCCTGAAGGCTTTGTTTTTAGAACAGTACTTTTGAACCCTAAATTTATATTTTGTATTTATATTTTATATTGTAATGGCCAACGGCCATATACAATAAACTTACTTACTATATTACATGTGGAGTTATCCCATCGACCAGAGGTTAGCAGCTGGTGGAGAGACTAAAACATAAGAACATAAGAGTCGCCAATGTAGGATCAGGCCAAAGGCCCATCCAGTCCAACACTCTGTGTCACACAGTGGCCAGAAATACCAGTGCCATCAGGAGGTCCAGCAGTGGGGCCAGGACATTAGAAGCCCTCCCACTGTTGACCCCCCCCCAAGCACCAAGAAGACAGAGCATCACTTGCCCCAGAGCCCCTAGCTATACCTTGTGGCTAATAGCCACTGATGGACCTCTGCTCCATATGCTTATCTAATTCCCTTTTGAAGCCGTCCATGCTTGTAGCACCCACCACTTCCTGTGGCAGTGAATTCCATGTGTTAATCACTCTTTGGGTGAAGAAGTACTTCCTTTTATCCGTTCTAACCAGACTGCTGGTTTTAGGGGTTTTTTGTCAGAGCCTCTGGCACTAGGCTCCACTCATTGTCACCATCTTGCTGGTCAAAAAAATCTGTATCTGTAGCTTTAAGAAACAAATACTTTCTCTGGCCATTGCAGGCAACCATAACAGTATTGCCAGCCTTCAAATATTGGATTCTGTCAGTAAAAGGCAAGGCAGGGCCCTTTCCAGGGCTGTTTTGGATTTTTAGTGAGAACTTATTGAGGCCAGGCCAGGTAGCAACCACAGAGTGACTGGCTGTCATGTCTCACCAAGGCCCAGCTGCTTGCTACTAGTCAACAGCAGTCACCCCACAAAAGCCACTGTACTGTAGTGGTTAGAGGTTCAGACTTGGATCTAGGTGACCCAATTTCAAATCCCCACTCTGCCGTGGAATCTTGCTGGTGACCTTGAGCTAATAACACACTCTCAGCCTAACCTACCTCATATGGTTGTTGTGAAGATAAAATAGAAGATAATTATGTAAGCTGCTTTGGGTACTGTACAGTTATGTACAGTAATTGTAAAAAAATGTGTAATCTATTTAACAGGGAATGTCTTACATTTAGGGCCATCTTCCTTTCAGGTAAATGTGCTAGGCCTTGTTTCACCTTTTTTAATACACTATTTAGAGACTGAAGTCTAGACACAAACATATCAATACTTTTATATATCTTTTAAAATGGTTAGAGTCAAACTTGTTTTAAACATTTTAAAAATTATTACAAGAAATAAACTTGACTCTTGATTTCCTTCTGGATTGACTCCCCCATAAAGTTGTAAGATATAATTGTGTGCTGAATGTCTGTGGAATTATAGCTGTTTGGTGTTTCATAATGTCCTGACTACAGCCTCGTTTAGAACAGGGTAAAGAAGGTTAACACTGCTCTATTTCAGATATGACTTCATAACTGCAATATGAAGGACTCACTAGTCCTTTCTGTTTAGGACTATCAACTAGGGATAGGTGGAAACCAAACCAGTCCAGCAAGTTCAGGACACAGCAAAATAGGAGGGATCTCCCAGGAAAGGACCTCCCTTCTGTTACGCCAACTGCTTTATCTACAGCAAAGGCTAACTAAATTTAATGTGAGTCCTGGCCAGCTATACCAAGGTCGTGTCTGAACCCAGAGTTCCAATAATGGAGACCACATGGGTGTTTTTCCAAAACAAATAATCTTTTTACTGAGCAATATCAAAGTAACATATACACAAAATAATCAGTCTCACTTTTCACATACACTCAAGTTTCCTTTAGATTATAGAAAAGATATCAAAAATAGTTTCATATTTACTTGGAGGTAGGTAGGTATTTCAGTTTATACTTGCCTGTTCCAGAAGTCTTGTCTGTTGCAATGTAAGAATAGAGGAGAAAGTAATACCTAGGGGTTTAAACTAAATCACACTCGCTAGAACCAGCCAGAAAGTATGGACCTCTTTGGCTGCAGTCCAAGAAATCTTATAGTAGACAAAGGGATTGTTGGATAGAAAGCTGGACCTTAGGGGTAGTAAAGAAGATAGAGTTCGTTGAGAGGAAAGATGGCTAGCAAAGACCTAGGGTTTGGGGCTTTACTTTTATAGTTGAATCTCCAGGTGGGTGGCACCTGGATAAATCTGATAAATAAATAAATTATTCATTTAACCCTTTGGTTTTGCTCACCCCCTCTTCAAAGCAGTGGGGAGCAAACCTGAAGGGTTAAATGACTGCCACCATTTAACCCTTCAGTTTTCCTCCCTGCCCCTTTCAAGGGGGGAGCTAAACCAGAGGGTTAACTATGGGGGCGAAGTGCCTTCCAGGGGCCATTTCACTTGCTCCTTTCTGCTGGCCCAGCTCTCTCGGGCTCTCTCCCACAGCCCATTTAAAGGGGTGGCGCAGGGGAGCTCGAGGCAGCTGAGCCCACAAAGAGAGACAAAACAGTTCCCAAGGATTGAACCAAATAGGCCAAAGTTCAGTAAATGTTTGGGAAGCACATCTTCCCCAACCATTACTTCCCCAGCCCTGAACTGGCCCAAGTTCAGCCTGAATTTTGACTCATGGGCTGGTTCATGCTCATCCCTATTATCAACATATATCTTCAGGACAGCAGGATATATTTATTTATTATTTATTTATTATTCGCATTTTTATCTCGCCCTCCCCGGAGGCTCAGGGCGGCTAACAAGGCATGTCGCCACATAAAATAGAAAACAGTACAAAATTTCTTAAAATACATCAACATTAAAACAATCATAGTGTACATTTGTATTTATGAAAATCCTGTCGAAAGACAAATGTAGACATTGTTTTCATAGTGTGCCTTGATTTTGAGGTGGGGCTGTTCTGAATCTGGGAAAGTGATAATACCAGGATAACAGTTTTCTTCTATTTTGTCCCTGCTACTTCCCTAGTTGCCTAAGATACTTGTGTTAGCCAATATAGTTTTAAGAGATAGATCAGTGTCCCATGTTGCTCTTCTCTGTCCCATATTGAAAACATACTCCCATCACATTGTGAGTTTTTAATTCAGAAAACTAAACTTGATAAACAGCTATGGAAATCCCTTTGTCTAACTTACTAGACCTCAAACTTCTACCTTCATTTGAAAGTCTTCCAAAATCTTTAATAAGAGAGGCTAAGAGTTGACATTTTAATATATTCCTATGTTATTAAAATGTTTGTGTGTTTTTTTCCTTCTGGCCTGGGGCATCAAAAATGTGTGTGTTAAAAACCCCTAATAAGATGATTTAAGAAAAAGAGATTTTGTTTCTATAATGGACTTGAGGGGAAGAATATTTGGATTGCAATCTAGTTATATCAGAGATAATGAGGAGCCGAATCTCATTCTGACAGTTCTGCCTTTTGGTTAATATTGAAATGGCCTTTCCCATCTGTGTCTGTGTACATTTGGGAATGACAGCATTGGTAGTTTTGTAAGACAAATAATGGAATGCCTGGAAATAGAACTTTGTTTGCTTTGAAAGAATGAGCAAACATGATGAAAGGTGCATTTGTCATTTGCTATTTAAAATGGTTTCATGTATTCTAGCCTTCTTTTGCTTTAACCACCCCAAACCATAGAGCTAAACTATTGCAAACTTTATTTTTGCAGATGTTAAATATGTAAAAGAAGAGGATGCAAATCGGAAAACATTCACTGTCAGCAGCACAATGAATTTCAGAGCAGATCGCAGTGATGATGGTGCAGTTGTAAGTTGCAGAGTAGACCACGAATCGTTGAACTCCACACCTCAGATAGCAATGCAAGTTCTAGAAATACACTGTAAGTACTATGTGCATGGATTATTTCTACTTTCAGGTACTATTAAGATTGCTTTCAGTTATAAAAAGTTTTCTTAATGATTTCAATTTTGGGGAAGAAAGTAGTCCCAGTTTGTATGATGTTTAAAATTGCAGTCATTATTTATTTTATTTTTATTTTATTTATTCAATTTGTATCCTGCCCTCCCCACCAAGGCAGGCTCAGGGCAGCTTACAGAAAATATATATATATAAACATCAGGAATTTAAATAAAACCACAATATATAAAATCATAGGTGCTAGTAAACATAGGTACTAATAGGTGCTTATAAGTGATGGCAGCAGTCTCTTGGCATCCAGATGGTCAACTACCACCATAGTCTGGGTTCTTGCCAGGCTGTTGGTTATTACGTTGGTGCTGGTATTGGGTGCTGGAATTGAGGCCAGGGCCATAATATTGGGAGGCGGCACCCTAATTGAAAGCCTGGTGGAAGAGCTCCGTTTTACAGGCTCTGCAGAACTGTAAAAGGTCCTGCAAGGCCCTGATGTCATCTGGGAGCTCATTCCACCAGTACGGGGTTGCCACCAAGAAGGCCCTGGCCCTTGTCACATCTAGCCTGGCTTCTTTAGGGCCTGGAAGGGCCAGATGGTTTTGGGACCCTGTTCTTAATGCTCTCTGGGGAACATGTGGGGAAAGGAGGTCTCTTAGGTAAGTAGGTCCTTGACCATATAGGGTTTTAAAGGTAATCCAATTCTATTTTTTGAGAAAAGGCTTGAAAAGGTAACACCTTCCCATACTTGGAAATGTTTGGAAATGGAAACAAAACTATTCAAAAAATGTAAGATTGCTCATATTGGAATTAAAATATATGGCATTTTGGATTAATTCCTATTTCTACCTGTATATGTGCCAGATTTCATAAATCTAGTTTGTCTGGAAAACATTTGTATTAGGAAAATTCACTGTTGTTATAAGACAATTATGTAAACAAATCCATCAATAGCACCTAAAGATAGATCTTCCAATTTGGAGGTTAACTTGATTATCATAAAAGGGCCGTTACAATTTTGTCTACCTAGCAACTAATAGGTAAAAGGATTTGTGAGTTTGTTGGTCTAGAATCCCTCTTTAGACTTTGTAGTGTGACAGTAGGTAGTGTTTGAGGAAAAGACAGAGACTAGAAGCAATTTAGAGAAAAAGGGCTTGTAGTTTTAGCCAGCGTTAGGTATGAACATTTATACCCCATGTGGGAGGGAATATAACAAATGTTAACTTGCTTCTCCAGCAGCAATATTGGATCTAGTATAACCCCTAGCCTCTTTACTGAGTCAGCTGAACACCATCACAAATGAGCAGCACAATGCCCTTCAAGATTACCTGACAAAGGCTTTTACATAGAGGTTGAATAACATGGGGGATCAGAAAACACCCAATAAGTCCCATAAGACAGCTCCTACATTGAATGATTTAAACCAGTCCAAGGCATATCCCCTGAAACCTCCTCTGCCTCCAAACACCTCAACAGGATATCATGTTCTAATGTATCAAAGGATAGCACATGAAAGAGGTCACACCTTGGACTTAATCCTATGCACTAAACCCTTGAGAGGAGTTCTTTTTTCAGGGCTGGAGATTTGACTTGACCCATAGCCTGACCCTGGTCTACCCAAGGCAGAGTGAATATGGCTGTGGCACCACACAAAAGGCCAACTATAGAATCCTCTTGATTGTTCTGCTTATTTATAAGTATTGCATAGATGTCATAAGTTTCTTTGTATTTTCTTATCCACATTAAGCAATGAAGTGTTCATATTAATGGAAAGAATCTTGAGAAATGAGGCTATAATGATACACACATATAGGGACACACCCTTCTTATATAGCCTATTTAAATAATTCCTGCTCAGTATGTTCACTTGGAATCTTCTCATAAAGTTGTGGAGAGTAGGGATATCAGGTACAAAATAATTAGTTAAAATTCAAACATGACATTTCTTTCTGTTCATTATTCTAATATGCTGTTTCCAGTTTAGCTGAGGAATGAGGAAGGGGAGAGATGCAGAAAATAATGTCAGGTGACTAGAGGCTTTAGATGTTGTACATCAACCAATTACTGTGTGGATCGGTCGGTGTTGGCATGCTAGGTTAGGCCAGATGAGGATGCGGGATAACAGGAACTGACAAGTGTGTCTCTCCAGGTCCTCTAGCATCTTTCTTATTCATTTGAAGTATCAGAGATGTCAGGTACACCGGAATCCTATGCTGCATGATCTCAGGTTCGTGAAAGAGCACCCAACATGCTGATGGGGTAGGAGGAAGAGATTTGCAGTGACTCCTGCAGCAACCCAGCCAGCCTGCATGGAGAGGAGAGAGTGTGAATGATGAAAATAAAGAGTTTTAATAGCAAAAGTAATGATTTTTTTAAAAGATGAAAATAAATGTAGTATAACTCCTCCCAATATAGGATGCATAATTGTACTGTATTATGTTTTCATCTGTTCGTCTTTAAATGAACTCAGGGTGGTATAAATGGTTTTTCTCTCCCATTTTTTATACTTAGTGCAATCCTATGAGGTAGATCAGCTTGAGAGGGAATGGCTAGCCTACGTTCAATCAGTGAGCTTCATGGTAGACTGGAAATTTGAACTAGTCAGTCTAGTCACATCATTAATGGAAAATTTGAACTAGTCACTTCAGTCACATCATTAATGGAAAGGTAGCTTCTTGTGACTGGTTTTCAACATTATACCTGTAATTTAAAATAGCTGTTTGTTTCATATTCTGTAGAAAGAGCAGAATTAGCAAGTGTAAGCATATTGATGTTGCCAGGTTTGTAAAATATTGTCTTAGCTGTGTGTGACAAGATTTCAGAGGCCAAGAGACATTGCCAGGTACACCATAAACAAGCAGTGTTGGAAAATTATCATATTGCCTTCTACTACAAAGCAGAACTTTCAGTTGTGATTTACATATATTGTTCTAAAACTGCAAATATCTTGGAGCATACATGTTTGTATTTATGTTGCATCACCCCATTCAGATGTAGTAGTAAACTGGAAGAAATTATAGAGAAGTTCCCTGGTGGGAAAGAAGAAACTGTTTGGGAGACAGAAATTTTAGACAATGTGATCATAAGGAGAGTTACACGTTTCTAAGCCCAGTGAGTGCAATTGACTTAGAAAGCTGCAGTTCTTCTTAGGATGACAGTGGGAATCAGCTACGACACAGCAAAGTTTCCCAGGGTGGGAGTTCAGAACCTAGCTCCCAACTGATCAGCTAGTTATCATCCTCCCTGTAAACTTTGCTGGCTCCTAGCAAGGATAAAAAATTTCCTCTGCAGGGGATTAGAAGCCTGATCCCAGATAATGGAGGGTCAGCAATGAGTCAGGTTCTGTTAACTAGCTGCACCTAGCCAGTTCATGCCGAAGAGCCCAAAATGGGTTGCACTCATCAACAAATTGACTGCATGATTGCAGCTGGTGAAACAAAGGAAACCTGAACTGGTGCATATTCCAGCACCCCTAACAGTCACAGTACAATTCTATACAGAGTTACTCCCGTCTAAGTGTATTGATTTCACTGGACTTAAACTGCAGTAACTCTCCATAGGATTATTAAGAGCGTGGGATCATAACGTTTGGGATCTTTCTGGACTTGGGACTTGGGGAAGAGTGTGACTTTTAAGAACTGATAAAATAAAAAGAGTATTGGAGTATTATGTGCAGGATGTGGACAGAATGGAGTGGGTGCAGAGGAGAGTGATGAGGATGATCGGGGGCCCTGGAGACGAAGCCCTATGAGGAAAGGTTGAGGGCAGGGCTCTAGTCGGGGGGGAGCTCTCAGGTACGGAGCTCCGGAAGAGAACCTCTAGGGGGCGGGGCAGTCACGTGGTGAAGCCCCGCCCCCTTCTTTACCCCGCCCTCTGCTTCGATCCTCATTCCGTTTGGGAATGAGGATGAAGCAGGAGGGTAAGTAGCCGGGCCTTCTGACACACTTCCGGTGATGTCAGGGGGTGTGGCCTTCTGTCACTTCCGGTGATATCAGGGGGCGTGGCATATGCAAATAAGTTATGCTAATGAGTTATGCTAATGAGCTCCGGCAGCTCTTTTTCTACAACAAGACCCCTGGTTGAGGGACTTGGGAATGTTCAGTATGGAAAAGAGGAGGCTGAGGGGGGACATGATTGCTCTCTTGAAGTATTTGAAGGGCTGTCATTTAGACGAGGGCAAGGAGAACATAAGAACATAAGAGACGCCAATGTTGGATCAGACCAAAGGCCCATCCAGTCCAACACTCTGTCACACAGTGGCCAAAAATACCAGGTGCCATCAGGAGGTCCACCAGTGGGGCCAGGACATTAGAAGCTCTCCCACTGTTGACCCCACCCAAGCACCAAGATGACAGAGCATCACTTGCCTCAGAGTCCCTATCTATACCTTGTGGCTAATAGCCACTGATGGACCTCTGCTCCATATCTATATATCTAATTCTCAAGTCGCCCCCTGGTGTGCAGATACTTAAATCCGCACATCGGGGGACCTGGGGGGGGAGGGAGAGGTTTGTGCACACGTGGGGCGGTCCCCACGTGTGCACAAAAATCCTAAATCTGGAAAAAACATCAGGGGGATGTTTAAATAAATCTGCAAAAAAACATCGGGGGGATGTTTAAATCCCCCCGAAACTCACAGAGCGTTCCCTGCGCATGCTTGCTGCTCGGCCCTCGCTTCGGAGCCGGGGGAAAAGAAGAAAAAGCCGCGAGGCTTCGGAGCCGGGGAGGAAGGCCAGAGGGGGGAGATCGAGCGGGGGGGAACGGGGGAGGATGGGGGGACTTACCTCCTCCTGCTGCTTCCTCCTCCGCCTTCTGACTTTGGAGCTCTGTTTGGAGCTCTGCCTCCCCCCCCACCCCACCCCCGCGAGTATCGCAGGTCCACCCCTTGTGCTTATCTAATTCCCTTTTGAAGCCGTCCATGCTTGTAGCCACCACCACTTCCTGTGGCAGTGAATTCCAAGTGTTAATCAC